CTATCAGAACCACATTGCTAACAGGACCACGTTGCTAACAGGACCACACTGCTAACAGCACCACACTGCTAAAATTAAGTGTTTTTATGACACTATTTTTATTTTAATTGTTTTCATTGTTGTTTATTGTTGTCTGTACTTTATTTCTGTCTAAAACAGGTCTCTCTTGAAAACGAGTCCTTGTGACTCAATGAGACTAACCTGGATACATAAAGGTTAAAATAAAAAATAAAATAAAAAACTTGTCGTACCCGAGGACTCCCGCTGTGAAGAAGACCAGGTAGATGTTGTTGAGGTTCAGGGTGAAGGTGAACACCATCATGCCGACAAACGACAGGGCGTACACCACCAGAGTGGTAATTCTGAAACAAAAGGGTGACGACGCTGCATGAACCTTCGAATGAATCCGATTAAAACACACGAGTAAGAATCATTTCATTAGCAGTCTGTTTAAAAACACAAACTCTTTATGACGCTGTTCCTGTTTGTAGCAGAGAATGTTCACAGGAAAGACAGACGACGTGGCAGACAGACTTTCATCTGTCTTGTTGGCCACTTTCAGTTAAATACATAAATCAGCAGTGCACTGATATACAGTTTAAAAAAACATTATACTAAATTGTTTTGTGTTGTGTTGCATCACTTATTAACACATATATTAGCTCATTGCATCATACTGAGTTGCCTTGTATTAAAACGTTGTATTACATCACACTGCGATGCAGTTTGTTTGAGTAATAGTTAGTTTCCATGAGTTCCTCTGACATGAGTCGTGGACAAAGGCTCCTTGAAAAGCACTGGATATTAGTGTGTTGATGCGCAGCGTAGAATCTGTTAATAACGCAGAGGTTGAATAACCGCGAGCTGAAGTTGGCGTTGAGCCAGATCCTGCTGGAACACGACCCGGGAACTCTTATTTTGACAGGGTGCGTTCTGATAACTGTTTGTTTGGATCCAGTAACTCTCAGACTTATTAATAATAAAGATATGAACAAATTTGACCGCCTTGAATGAATAAAACCTATGTCGGATACGTAAACTGAAAATAATTACATAAACACTAATTTTAAACATAACAGCCACTTAAGTAGCATTTCTGCTTCTACCCTTAAAAAAATCTCCGTCCCTAAAAGTTCAGTCATGGGCAATTTAATTAAAAATACAAAATATATTTAATATGCAAATCAGTTTTACAGTTTAAGTGGGTCATAAAATTGTGATTATTAAAAATACGAGAGAAATGTTGATGGGTAATCACGTTATGTACATATTGTATAAAACAACGGCGCCAATTTGTCAAAATAACAGTGATCAAGATGTCAAGATGTTACTTTCTTATTTTTTAAGTCTTCTGGTTGTACAACTAAACAACCGATACTTGAAGCACATGAAGGCAGTGGAGACACTGGAGCAGGTGGAGTGGTGTGGGTGAGAGCTGAGCTCACCAGGCAGGAGCCCACAGCCGCCATGAACAGCCTGAGGAGGAGCCTGGGGGGGTTTCACGTGTGGAGGAGAACGACAACGAGGAGGAATTCAGTGGAGAGGAGTCGGGCTCAGAACCATCAAGTGAGGAAGTGAGGGGTGCCCAACAATCTGAACAGCTGTCCAGTTCAAGGCCAAGCAGCAGGGGCGATTCTAGGATCTGACCTTTAGGGGTGCTCAGCCCCCAGTGCTAACAACGGCTCATGGCTTTAATAACATGGTGACCACTGGTGTCAGAAGCATTCATAACGTGTGTGTGTGTGTGTGTGTGTGTGGGGGGGGGGGGGGGGTTCTGGTGGTCCTCCCCCAGAAAATTTTGAAAAAAGTATATGAATTTCCTGCATTCTGGTGTATTTTAATGGGTTGTTAAACATCTACGTTTACCTACATTAAACACATGATTCAATAACTATTTTAGAGAGCTCAGCACAACAAGAAGGAGCGCTAAGCTAGCGGTGTGCAATACAGAATTTAACTATTAAAATACAATGTAATTATGACAGAAAATTGAGGATTTAGCTGCAGTTACCTTCGTACAGATGAACATGTTACTTCCTGTTTATCACTGTTGTACTCAGCTCATGAGGTCAGGATCACTTGTAAAGGTCCATCTCACAGTGGATCCTAAGAAACTGGCTGCATATGCCGTCCGATCCGTCCACCCAGACTCGGCTGGCCTCTTGGTTCCCCTGGACTGTAGGACCGCTTGAATGCTGGGCAGAACTCCTCCCAGAGCGATGACCACTCCTCCCAGTAGTCTGCCGAGCTCCTCATAGCTGTGGACAGCCAACTGTAGGTGCTGAGGGACGATCCTGTCCTTCTGCTGTCATGAGCCGTGTTTCCTGCTAGTTCCAGGATCTCAGTGGTCAGGCACTCGAGCACAGCTGTCAGGTAGATGAGAATGCGTCCATAAAACATCTTTTTCAACTCATTTGAGAGTTGGGGCCATAGTTGAGATATTATTTCAGCTTTTGAGATGTTATTCAGCTGCTGTTGTTGTAGAAAACTGCCTTGTTGCCATGGTTACGCATCATAACAAATGTCCAAAACTAAAAAAAAGTTTCAGTAAAAATCCTTCCAGCTGCACAGCATCTGATACCAGAGGAAACAATCATCCAAAAATTGTGATTTACATCCAGAAAAAGAGGAATTAAAGTTTCCAAAAGCAAAATGTCAGAATGAAAGTAACAGAGCTGCTCCAACATGCAGCCACCTGGAGCGGCGCAATTCTAGAATGCGCCGTAAATTCTAGAATTTATGTAAATAAATAAAGTATTACAATGATCTGTTTCCTTTTAAATTGGTTTATTTTGTTGCATTGAATCATAAATGCAATAAACAGAACCCCAAACCCAGAACCGCAAAAAAACCAACCTTTTTTTTCTTTTTCCTTTAATTTTTAGGGGTGCTAAATTAAAATTTAGGGGTGCTTGAGCACCCCTAAAAAGAGGCTAAAATCGCCACTGCCAAGCAGACCTACTATCCATGGATTGTAATGGAAAAATCTGGTTTGTAGGATGTTTGACAGAAGCGGAGTGTGCTCTATGCACACAGGGAGAGCTGTTGGTCAGGCTACATCTTGTTGCTCTCTGAAATAGTTATTGAATCAAGTGTTTAAAAATGTAGGTAAACATAGATGTTTAAGAACCTGTTAAAATAAACCAGAATGAAGGAAATGGAATCTACTTTATTCAAAATTTTCTGGGGGAGGATCCCCATACACCCCCCTCCCCTGCTATTTGCATTCCAGCATCGTTTGATTTGCAAATGAAGCAGCGCGTGTAACGTGCGTTTCATACTTGTACGTCTTTGTGTGGTCCAGCCACAAACCACAGAGGATGGAGCCGACCATCCCAGCAACGACGAGAGTCAAACCAATCCTCCCAGCGTTCAGCTCCTGGCCCTGAAAGAAAACAGCTTCATGTTTAACCTTCGCCTTTCTTTGAAATAAGAAGACCTCTGCAGAAAGAGGAACGTTTCTCGTGCTAGGAGGTGTTTAAGCCGGTCACATGTTCTTCAAGCGTGCACGTATGGGTATGGTGGGAAGAGAGGGGTCAGGGATTCACACAGTCCGGAGGGAGGGGCCTGTTAAATCACCTGACAGGTGACCAGAAAAGCGTGAAAGCAGCTAATGAAATCAGAAGCACAGATAATAAGTTCACGACTCATCAGAGCCGTCACAAGTTTTTATTCTCTTCTCTCCTGAGCTCCGCCTCAGCTTCTCTGTTCCACACTTTGCTTTCTGAGTGCTTAACAACAAAACTGGACTTTTAAGAAGAAAAAACCTAAACGATGACCACCGGTGAACACATTTCATTCGGCCAAGCTGTGGTTTTCTATTTTGTTCCTTTTTGACCAGTTTTTCTGCACAAACTTGATCTTTGAGTCATAATTTTAACACGAGAACCAACACAACGATAAACTCTGGTCCTTCGTTTAGACTTTTTTTCTTTCACAGCTCAAGTTAGAACGCTGCATCAGGAACACTGATGAAGATGAGATGAAGATCAGTGACGTCAAACAGTCAGGAAATGACTTAAATGTGCTCTTTTACCATCATCTACTGGTTTACCTCGTAACAGTACACGATCATCTGGTTTAAAAGAGTGGAAACGGAGTAGAACGAGCCCGTCAGTATACCTGCAGAGACAAACAGCAGAAACACTTTAATTCACCTCAATGCTTATTATGTTTACGACGATATTAAATTCAAGTTTTGATGTTCCTGAGTAAGGTCTCCAACTGTAGGAAGAGACATATGCTGTAAATGCAGCAGGTTTACAGACCATAGGAAAGAAGACTGTGGTAGGCCTGTCACCATAACAACTGTTGCTGGGCGATTAACTGTCTCAGAAATTATTGCGATAAACGATAATATTGTTTGAAATTTGACAAAAATTAGTAATTATTGTCAAATTTAAGAAGAAATATTGGCTAATGTTTTGACCACCGGATGGCAGTATAAAACAGTTTGAACTGAAGGATGGATAGTGAGGGAGCGAGCAGCGTGTCTCTTTAAGAACAATGGGAGGGACGCCCCTTGACGTGACATGGGCGGTCTCTCTTCAGTTCTCAAAATGGCGGACGCTCGGTGTGGTTTGAGCTCTTTAGCATTTTTCACACAATTAATAAAAAAATCAATAAACAAGTTCTCAGCTTCTTTTTGCAGAGAAAAACAACTTTTTACACAAAGGCACGGGTTTCAATTGTGAATTTTGGAGTTTTGGCAAGACGGAGGGTTTTTCCCGAGGTCGGCCTGTTAGCTTAGCTTGTAGCTTAGCTGCTTTTAATAATCCAAAAACACAATTTTGGATCGTTAAAATTGATTTTAAAGAGAAAGTGAGGGGTCAGTGAAGAGCACCGGAGTCTTTTGTCGTCCAGTGTCTTCAGTAGAACGAGAGACACAAGAAGAAACGATAAAGCCGATAAATGAAAATGAGGTGGATAATTTTCATTTCTCATGCCATTAATTGATTTATTGTTTATCGTGACAGGTCTCCTCAGTGGTCTAATAATCAGATCTCCATTGAACAGGAGGTATTGATCTCAAGAGACTTCCAGGTAAATGATTAAAAGCAGAGCTGCATCAGGAAGGGCGTCCGGAGTAACACCTGCCAAATCTTTCATACCAGTTCGCTCGCTGTGGCAACCCCTGAACAAGGAAGAAGACATTTCTATTTTGCTTAGAAATTCCTGTAATATTTTATTAATTTACTAGCGGAAATAAATTCATTGGGAAATGACTAATTTGACTAAAGGGTTTATGTCAATGTATTTCTATAGCACGTAAAAACAACAACAGGTAACCAAGGTGCTTTACAATTAAGTCAAATTTAACACAGAAACACAGGAAAGTTAATAAAATACAGCAAAAAATCAACTCTAACTGGTCCTCAGACTCTGCGTGGACCAAATGCCAAGAAAACCACGAGTCTTCAGCAAAAGATTTGCAGACCTGAACTGAAAGCTAATGATGTACGTGGTAATTGGACAGATTCTCTCTACCCTAAATGTCCACGGTTCACATAGAAGAGAAATGCTAAAGTTACAATGGAAAGTGTTGCGAACATGGTCGGTTGTGAAAAAGGACAGGCAAGTGGGATTATTGCAATTTATTTAATAATCTCACTTACCGTAGCTGATGAGCAGCAGGACAAAAGCTTTATTCTTTATCAGGTTGATAATAGACTGTTTGTAGGAATAATCCTCCAGTGGTGCGCCTGGTAAGACGGCCTGGGCTTGGCTCGGAGGAAGAGGTGGTCTGTCTCTAATGACTGAAAGAAAAGAAAGAAATGTAGAAAAAGTTCATGGAACGATGCGGAATGAAGATTAGACGTTTTCACCAGTAAAAGATTTTAGAAGCCTGACCCTAGTGGCAGTTTCAAGTACTGCACGTTGAGACACGTCTCGTCTCTCATTGGCCTCATTGTTCAGACCTGGAGGCTGTGTCTATATGTGCAAAACAAAAGATGCAGCATCGTGTATTTTATGTAAACGTGCGTCCAACTCTTAAAACACAAGGAATTTATTCAAACGTACGAGTAAAAGCAAATCCCTACCAGCAGCTGTTTGTTTCTTTAATGCTCTGATATTTGCAGATTTGCATGTGTCAGTAGTAAACTCCTACCTGCACGCTGGGCACCACCCGAAAGTGCTTCTGTTGAAGTCATCTGGATTCTTTGTGTTTGACTGGCTGCTTGAAACCACAGCTGCAGTTTAAACATTGTGTGTTTGCACACTGGTTCAAAGCTTCTACCCATTAACTCGAATGTATTTCCTTCCTTACACATCAGTATAAAATGTATGAAAATAAAATATTTCATCCTCAAGCTTTAACTCAAGTCCTGACCCTGAATGAACGAACCCATGAATGGTTCGTGTGGAAGATCTCTCAGATCTTTGTGCTCCCCCGGGGGGCACCTGGGCCTCAGAAGCACACAAACATGTTTTGTCTTATGTGCTAAGGTGCACCTGTGGTCAACACATGAATCCAGGGTAGCTGAACCACAAACCCCCAGCTCCCGGAGCAGATGGGTGCACGTTGCAGATGAAGCATGCGGTTGTCTGCGTGGTGTGTGCGTACTTATAACGGTGAGGATGAAGAGGCCTGTGGAGACCGCAGCTGTGCCGTAGAACATGATGCTGATGTTGTGACCTGCGGGACACAAGAATCCATTTGAGGCGTGACTGACTGATGATTCAGTTACACAGGAGCTCTTCAGCGTCAGGCTGATATCACTTCCTTTGATAACGCCGAGACTCTAAAACAACATTAATGTTTAATTAAGGCGTTTTCAGTTAAAGGCAGAGGAATAGATTCTTGTTTATCTTTGGTACAGACACAAGAATGCTCAAAGTTTCCTGAGTCAAACAAACGCCACCTTTTTCCTCTGCTTGACGCCATCTGTAGCAGCATAAATGTTTTGTTCGGTTATTAAAGTTTGAAAATGTAAAACCAAGAAATGTTGCTACTGACTTAAGTATAAATTCATATTTGTGAGCTCTGAGTGATGATTTGATAAATATTTGACAAGGTGACATTTATGTTTTATACATGCATATGCTGTTTGAATAACTTTGTGATGAGAATTAAGTCTGCCTAGAAACAGCAAGAACTACATTTTGATTGGTTGGTAAAGTAAAGGAGAAGAGACTTGTAATAAATGAAGGCCTAGAGGGCCTCTCATACAGGGACGGACATGGAGACAGTTATTTTACTTATACTTATCATATTTATCTTAATGTTTTTCTGTTGGTTATACTTGAAACTTGTACATGTATCATGTGTTCTTCATAAGAGTTTAAGTTTGAACACTGTGGTCCCGAGCTGTTTTTTGGCTGAAAACGGAGGGAGAGGGGGAGTTTGGGGGAGTTTGGGGGGGTCGAGGCTCCACTGACATTACATTAATAAAACGAGCACTGAAGTCTGGATTTGTTTCACATTTTTCAACACACCTGTTAGTTCAGGATCATCCGGCGTGTTCGGAACCAACACTGGAGGCAGGAGGAAGCCGATGGCCGTCCCCAACTGAAAAAACAAGAAATCAAACAAAACGCAGTTTAAATCATTAAGATTTTAGTGAAAATATCTTTAAATGTTAGTTTTGACACATTCTGTTCTGTTGCCTTTTATTCTTTTCATATTAAAAACTTTTCCATCGTTTATTTGTTGTGAAACAGTTTTTTGTTTTAGGAGTCAGTTTATCATGTGAGACTAAAGAATCTCGTTCCATCAGTGAGAACGTCCTGGAAACAAAGGTGAAGTTTCCTACACGGGACGTCCAGCTAACCCCGAAGATTCCTGTGAAAACACCTGAACCATTCTTTAGATTAAAGGTCTTTGGTGTTCCCAGAAAGCATTTCAAGAACCTTCAGGGGGTTGTCCTAAAGGTTAGCTCTACGTTGAAGGCTGCAGAAAACATTCCCTGGACATCGTCTAAGGTTCAGCTGTGACAACAATAAGGAACGTTCTCTGAAAGTTCCATGAAGACTAAAAACTGTCGTCACAAAGTTCCCAAAACATTCGTCTTTTGGTTGTTCCCTCTTCAAGGGTCTCCAGAGTCCTCCTCCTCTGTCCTCACTCCAGTACCTCCATGTCCTCTCTAACTGCATACCACTGTCCCTCCTCTGGACATGTCCAAACCACTGTCCCTCCTCTGGACGTGTCCAAACTACTGTCCCTCCTCTGGACGTGTCCACACCACTGTCCCTCCTCTGGACGTGTCCACACCACTGTCCCTCCTCTGGACGTGTCCA